TATTATAGTATAAACAAAAGTAACAAGGTGCAATCATTTTAGCATAACTGCGCCCAGTTTGGGCAACAAATACTTTGTTTTCAATGTAGACTCTAGGTGGCGATGTTTGTGAAAACCCATTATCTGGTTTGACAATGACGGCTGTGACACTCCTAAAAGACAAGCAAAACGTTTTCTTCTGCAGCTTATGTTGAGGAAACACGCAGAATACGTGACAGAAAAAGTAAAACTATTCTTTGACATAACTAATGACTTCTTGAGGTCAATCTTGATATACTATCTTCGTATTGCTTGTATATGCTACGTAGTAAAAATATGTTCACGTGTGTGTATATATACACGTGGACAAAGTGTCACGTGACAGTCGTCTACACAACAATACATCCGTGTCAATGTATAACCTCCCTCTCTCTTCTGTATTTATTTACTTAAGTCCTGTATTTTGTGTTTATGAGTAATAAAAAAACAAAAAACAAAAAAAATCTCTTTCCACACACGCTACTGAGATTGTGCCAGGCAATTACTACGTCGCTGTTATGTGTTAAATATTTCCCATGTGACGTCACTATTTCACTTGTTTTACTCGGAATCTATGACTAAATATATTACATAAAGTAAAAATGGAGACGATCAACAATCACGCGAGGAAAAATCGTCGTAATATTTTGGAATACCTGCTATCGAATTTACGTTTTTGACATTTATTGACCAAATTCCCCTTTTTGTCGATATCGAAGCTAATTATAGTCATTAGCGATGAATATACTGGTATCAGTATTGAACCATTCGATAACGGAATAAATTTACCGATAGAATTGGCCAAATCTACATATTTTTAGGTAGTTAGACTTATTTCTTTTGGGTTGAGGTTGTTCGGACATTCAAACAAAGTTGTGATGTTGGACATTTTTTTTGTTTAAATATAACCATATAAACATGACCAAATGTTACCAAAATATTAGACACAATTGCATGGGAAAAAATACCCTGCACATGACTAATCTCACACAGATTTTCGATGTGAAAACTAAGGGTCGAGTAGTCGCTATTTCGTAAAATCGATCAGGGATGAGGACCGTAGACAATTACGACGCACGACGCACAGTATTATTGGAAATGACACACACATCATCAGTGAGAGACCATCATGCATCAAAGAGACGGTAAGTTATCATCCCTGAGGTTCGCGTGACAAATTTGGATTGGCGCCCTCTAGAGACCGGGACGCAACCCCGTGGCCGTTTTTTTCACTTGTAGACTGTCGTATAGCGTATATGCTATGCTTT